GGAGCAGAACAGGCAGATCTACTGACATAAGGGAGCTATTCACTGCTGGGAGGAGCAGGGGGCAAGACAGGAGAGGTCTGCTCTGCCATGTGGACTAGCTCCCTGGCCTGAGATAGAACTCACACCTCAGGGGCTGGTGAAAGCTTGATAGCTGAGACTTTAATCCCTGGGACATCAGGGAGGCCTTTAAAAATGCCTTTTTAATTGTTTTGTAAAATTTTGTTATTTTAGAGTACAGTTTGAGTTTTGACAAATGTGAAAGTTATATATAACCACTACCACAATCATAATACAAAATGATTCTTTACTTACCACCCCCAACTCCCTTGTGTTACCCGTTTAGATATTTTCTGGTCCTAGGTTCTATGTGGTTAACTAGTTATTCTCAGTTTACATAGTGTCATGCTTTGCTTAACACCCAGGACACATTCTGAGAAATGCATAGTTAAGGGATTTTGTCATTGGGTGAGCATCGTGGCTCTGTAGAGTCTATAAAACTGGACGGCATAGCTCAGTCCATACCTAGTCTAGATGGAATAGCTCATTCAGGGTCAAATGATGACCGAAATGTGACACACGTCTGTGAAGCTCTAACAGGTATGTTATGGTCCACATTATAGCTGTACCTCAGTTTACTTAATCATTTCCATTGACAAATATGTGGGTTATTGACCCTTTTCACTCTTACAAACAAGGCTGCAGTGAATATACATAAATGTCTATGCACCCAGGTAAATAGCTCTCAAAGGGTGGAATTTCGTGCTCAGTAATTTGATAGTTATGACTTAGTTTGCCCTTCTAAAACATTGTACAATATATGAATGTCCATTTCCCCATATCGTTGCCAACACTAAATATTACCACACTTCCAAAATATTTTTCAATGTTAGGTAAAAAAATATTTCATTCTCTTTCTTACAACAGAGAAAACTGAAACCAGTGATTTAAAGACTTACTGACAGGTAGATTATTACCCACTTTTTGTATTGTTAAACCTAAATTTCTAGGTTATCAGTTAGTCTGGTTCATAAAGAAAGACAATTCCTTTTGAAAGAAATGGCAGGGTTAAAGAAGCGATGTGATTTGAGATGCGAAACATAAGATTTCACATACTTTTTTCAGGAGGTGGTGTTTTATATGCTGGCATTTTATATACTGGCAGGCCCAAAACCACAGGTCCAGGTATCTTAATTTTATTGCTATAAAATACTATTCCCAGAAGATTTTTAAATCGAAAAGAATCCACAACATAAAACCTCAAATATTAGTGTTGGCTGAGAGGTAAGAGAAGCCATAGCCCTTGGTGATTTATTATTTAACAACTTTGTGGTTTCCCTGGGCCTTATTGGAACAGTCAAAGAACAAGAGAAGTTACCTGTTTTCATAACTGTGACTGGGGTCCAGAACAGAAGCTCAAGATGAATAAGGGGAGAAATGCCAAGCCAGTGGAGAGGGACAGGGAACACAGACAGCCCCTGGGTGCCATAGACGTTGGTCGGCATAGCTCAGAGCAGTATGTTGGTTGACTCAGTGCTCACCTTGCCTTTGTAACGAGTTGTCAGACTGGGCTGAACCCCAAAGGCAGCCCCTGAGTCTTCTTTATTTTCATCAGTTATCAAGATGGGCTTGGGATGAGAGATACTTTTGTGGCACCAGTCTAATAGAGTTTGAAGGATTCTTGGAAACTATTACATTTACTGACTTTCCAGATGACAAAACCAAGGTGCAGAGAGAGAAAATGATTTGCATAGGTAATGATCATGACATTTTAAACTTGATACTATTGAATAATGAAAGGGAAGCACTCTTTTACTTGAACTTTGAAGACATAACAGATTCTTGGACAGAAAAGTACCCTTGCCTTGAAATTCCTGAAGCAGGTGTGGCACATAACTAGTGTGTGTGCCCAGCCCCGCTTCCCCACATGCCTGTGGCAGCCATCATTTATCAGCCTCAACCTGCTTTCTTCAGTCAGGCTCTGACCCAGCCTGAGAATCCCCTTTAGCACAGTGCTGGAGACAGCCAGTCACAATGGATCTGAGTTTTTGTGCAAATTAAAATCTATCTACCCCGGGCTTCCAAATGCAAGGGGTTAAGTCTCAGCACTATGAAGCTATCAGAGCCGCTGCAACATGAGTTCAATCCCCTGCCAGGGAGCTGACCCACATGGTGCAGCAGCCTCTCCTGTCTCGCCTGCTGCTCCCCTCTGCAGTATATTTCAGTTCATCTGCCTGTTCTGCTCCCCACTCTGTCTCTGGTGAATCCTCTTACCCACAGCCCCTGCATCGCTGGCCTGCACCCCAGTTCCTGTTTGTATAAATAAATGAATCTTTAAAAAATATATAATGATCTGCCCCACTCTCCTAAATGATGTATCCACACGATTCATGATGTGGTGATATTAGCAGAAACCACAAGAACTTGGTTTGTCTCTTGGATCTTCTTATTCCTAGCCCTGTGATCTTAGGTAAACAAACTTTCTGGGACTGTTTCTTTCTCTTGAAATGAAGGATTTGAATTAAACCATCTTTTAGCGTTCTTCCAGCTCTGAAAAGTATGATGACTCAAGGTCTATAGACCTTCTCCAGAGAACTTTATAGTTAGAACTATGTCTTTTTTTTTCATCTTTATTTTTCATATATATATATATATTCTTTTTTTTTTCATAGTTGCAGGCACTTCATACTCTTTAAAAACCATTTTGAGGTTCTTAAATGTATCTAGCATTTTCAGGCTAGTTCTTTTCATCTGCACAGTTCCATTAATCCATAATCTCCTGAAACCAGAATTAAGGGGTTCACATGGGAGAAACAGTGGAAAGATTCACTTAAAACCAGGACACTCTTCTTGGCCACAGGGACTTGAATGTTCTCACACAGTCTGGAGAGAGCTGTTGTGTCCTGCTTGAGTTGCTTCTTCGTTCGCACTTCCTGAGGATGCACCGGCCAGCCAGTCAGACAGGTCTCTGCAAGAGGCCTTCTGAGCGCCCTGGCCGTCTTCCACCCTGCTCACTGTTGACCTGCCTCCCTGCTTGTCTTCCAGGCCCCGCTTCCCTTCGGGCCTATCCTCTCCTCTCGGTCATCACCCGACAGCCCACTGTCATCTCTCATCTGGTCCCTGCCACCCCTGGAATCACCCAGGCATTATCACGCCACCCGGCCACTGAGGCTGCCGCTGCTGAGACTCCGGGCGGCGAGGCGCTGGGCAGCAGTGAGTCAGAGACAGAACAGCCCACCCCCCGGCAGAAGAAGCCTCGCCGGAGCCGCACCATCTTCACCGAGCTGCAGCTCATGGGCCTGGAGAAGAAATTCCAGAAGCAGAAGTACTTGTCCACCCCAGACAGGTGAGGAGTCAGAACCGGGGCTGCCAGCGGTGACGGCCCTTGAGGAGGGATCTCCTTGTGCTCTTGGTATAAGGACTATGTTCGAGATGCTTGACATAGGCAGGCATTTATTTTCTCACGCACTTCATCTCAGCCTTGGTTTAACAGAATCCAGCCCACCAGAATTCATTACAGCCAGCTGTAGACTTCATGCTCCACGCAAGGCAGATCTTAGTAATGATTGCCCAGGGGCTCGTTTGGCAAGTGTGTTTGGCTTTTAGAGCCACTTAAACATGAAGTGGATACAGCAGGGGAGTGGAGGGAGAAGGGTCAAGAGTGGGGGAGGGAAGAGGACAGGGGACTGTGGTGACAGTTCATGGGGGAATCGGTGGTGAGATTTATGGGGATTTCTTCATTTATTGCACAGAAATGAAGAACAATGTAAGAAAAAATATCAACATGCAGTGGGACTGATCTGGAATTGTGGTCCAGGGTCTTGCCCCACCCTCCAACTCCCGTGGCTCAGTCTGTTGGCCTGGTGACAGGGCTGAACTGGGACCCAGGAAATGGTCTATCTCAGTGAATTTGATGGTTATGAAGTCAGAACCACTTAGCTGAAACCAAGTGAGAGTCCCTTCCTCCAACACGTTAGAGATCCAGGTGAGGGTGACTTTGCCCTTCGCTTACTTCAATATCTTTATTTTAATATCTTTAGTTACAAAATGGGCAAGAGTGTGTCTTCTCTCGTTCTTTCAAACTCACCCTGGAGATGGCTGGGCCCCCAGGTGATCCTATTCACTGGGATGATGTTCTAGGTCTTTCTTCTCTCCTTTTGCTCTCTTGTCTTGTCCCTATCAGGTCTGACTCCAGTCCTCTTAGAAAGGAAAAGAAACTTCAGTGCATCTCGTAGGCCATTTATTTACTCATTGTTTGATAAAACTTTCAGTGAGAGAAATGTCTGCAAATCATTGACTTAGAATCGTGTGCCAAGTCAATAAACTGAGCACCCACTTGCCATTTGCCAGGCTTCTCCAGTGCACTGAGCACTGCAGCAGCAGGGATGATGGTCCAGAAAGTACTAGCTAGAATGGGTGCTGCTCTGTTACTGGGTGTGTCTGATGGGATTAGGGAAGGCTTCTCAGAGGAGTCAACATTTCACTTGAGCTTTGCTCCAGGAGAGCGCGGATATTCCACAGAAGGCACAGAAGCGTGTTTATCGGACCTGTGGAGGGAACTGCGGGTGGGTGGACATCTCCAGCACAAAGTGTGACTCAGGATACGGTAGGAGGTGAGGCCGCAGACAGGGAAACAATGCCGGAGGAACCTTGTATGCCTGGTCAACGAATGTGAAACTTGTCATTTATGGGACTGTTTAGCAGCCAGTATGACCTGGAAAGGACATGGCCAGCTTTACATTTTAGAATCTTCATGTTGGTGGCACCAAAATCGATTGATTCAAAAAGGAAAAGCAGGGAAACCAGTTAGGAGAGAGTCTAGAGAAGACCTGAATGAAGGTGGAGACAGTGAGAATAGAGATGAGAAAATAATCAAGGAACAGTTTTAATGTGGGATAAGCAGAATTGGCACCGGGGCAAGGAAGAAAAAGGAGATCAGGTGGTTCCCAGCTGGGGGACCAGGTTATCGGCAATGCCAGTAGCAGAAGGTGCCAGGCAGAGGACAGTGAGCTTGGTGGGGAAAGCATGAGCTCTGTTCTGGACCTGAGCATCTTGGGTGCCTTTGGGTGGACAGTGAAGACAGGTCTGTGGATTGGGGATTCATAGCTAGGGTATCCAGGTATCAAGTGACTGTTTTGATGCCCTCCACCCTAAAATGGGGAGCCTGAAGTCCTCAGGGAACCAGATGGAGTGGGCATTGTTATTTATGAATCGCATGGTGGTGCATAAGAAGGGTCTTGATATGTTTGGGTAAAATTTTAGAAGTATCTTCTAGAAGTCAGAATGTTTGAACAGAAATATCAGTTCCTAGTAGACTTCCCAGCGCTTCCTGATACCTGCCCAGGCATTTCTCAGATGACCCAGTCAGGACTGATTCACTTGCCTGGGGAGGACCCAGCTGGCTGGCAGGAGGCTGCGCCTCACCCCACCCTCTCAGTGTTCCTCCCTCCTTACGTGACCAGCCCCATGGCGCTCCCTCCACCAGCACTGCCCTCCCTCTTCCTCTGTTTGTTTCCTTCGTTTCCTAGGTGACCTTATTTAAGCGAAAATGCAGGGAAGTGCGAATTTGTAACGGTGGCAGGTAATGAGAGAAAGCCGATGACAGGGAAGCTTGATTTTGTAGCCAGAGTGAGTCAAGGGCACATTTTTCCCAAATGAGCTAACACCATTTGCTAATGCAGCAGCAGAACTGTGAACTGAATCTTCCATTGACTAAAGCACCTGATGGCCTCAGGTGAACTGGCTGGAAGGCCTGGTGGGAGCTCAGGAGAACCTGTCTCCAGGCAGGAGTGAGAAACCACAAGATGGTAGGGTGCTCTTCCCCCCTCCCTCACCACCCCCTGGATTCTTGGTTCTACATGAATAGCTACTTGGGAAGCAGTGCTTGTTTAGTGCGATGGCTAAGTGCTGTTTGGCCCTGGCAACTTATTAGCTTCAGTCTGTTAGTCACTTTCAATATAACTGTCAACTTCCAGTAGCCCTTTTGCTGTGACAATCAGATATATGTGAATGCAGGTTAAAGGTGGCTCGAGATCCCTTGAAAGAAGACCATTTTTATTACTGGAGATATAAGTGTGTTCAGGCGCTCTGTTCAGGGCATCCAGTCAGCACCTAGCACCTTCCGTGCTGACATCAACCTATGGTCTTTGTGGTGGTGGAGGTGGCTCTTTACTACTCTGGTAGAGCACTCACACCTGAGATTCTTCATTGTCCAGGCTGTGGCTGCAGGTTTGGTGACCTAATGGACTTTGGTTCACAAAAGGCAATCCTCAGAGAGCCCTTCAAAAGTGGTGGTCACTACTCAAGCTGTATCTAGGTTGCTGCATTAGCCATTGACACTGCTTTAGTAACTGGTGTTGACCACAGGGAGGCCACTGGTGTTGGTCCTTTGAGTTGATGCTCAGTTCTTATCAACTTGCCTTGACATACAGTCTCCAGGGCGGAGGTTGGGGGCTTGGTTCCCTTTCTCATTTCACAGGCTGCACTGGGGAATTCTTTGTCATTCTCTGTGATATAGCATTCCTGCATTTTCCCTACTAAAGCTGAGCTAGAGCTTCTCTTTGACAGAGCTAATATGTAGAAAAATATGGTGAGCCCCTAAGTAAACGGAGGTACATAAGTCAGAGGTAAGTAGATTTAATTCCTGGCTCCACCTCTTACCCTAGGGTTGTCTGCTAGAGGGCAGCAAACTTTTTCTGTAAGGAGCCAGAGAGTAAGTATTTTAGGCTTTGTGAGTCACAGGGTCTTTATCACAAGTATTCAATGTTGATGTTGTATCATTGAAAGCAGCCATAGACGATATGTTAACAAACAAGTGTAAACTTTACTTAAAAGGATTTGCCCACTGTTGCTGAAAGGTTCTTTGACTCTCTCTGAGCCGAGGACTTCTCATTTTTCAGATGGGAATAATTATACTTACTTTCAGTGTTGTGAACGGAACGAATAGGATCACAGATGTCATGGGCTTAGATTGTAGTCTGGGATGCTGCAGACCTCAGGAAATGGTGGCTGCTTTGCTGGAATTAGCTCCAACTGCACACTTCTCAGGAATGGCTTTGACATTCCGGATTTTTCAGGCTACAGGGAAATGCAGAATCATGATTAGTAGTGAAATGAAAAGCAGGAGGAGTTAATGGCTGCTTTGTTTCTTTCTTTTAAAAAAAATCATTTATGCATACAGAACTGGGGGATGGGCCAGAGGTGCAGGGGTGGTGATAGAATTCAACAGAGACAGAGCGGGGAGCAGAACAGGCAGATTGACTACATATGCTGAGGGGAGAAGCAGGTGGGTTAGGAGAGCCCTGCTGCACCATGCCTGGCCAGGGATCAGCTTCGAAGTGCTGTGCTTTAACCCCTTGCGTCACCAGGGAGGCCCCGTATTGTTTCTTTTGAAATCTGGCATTGGAACAATTTAGGACAGCTACCATGAATGACTCAATCCAGTGAGAAGCATTTTTGAGCCATTGTCCTGATTTTATAATGCAGTAGGCATTTTTGTGGCTATAAAAGAAGCAAAAGGCAAACTCTTCTTTTGCAGTCAAGTTAGGGAGGCAGAACTAACTCATATGAAGCAATTAGACACCAGTGCATAATCTGGAGTCATCTGGGTGATGGCCAGCCCAGGGGAGGGTGTAGAGGAGATAACACTTGTGGACTGAGGGGCCCTGGAGGTTCAGCCACTGGGGGTGGGGTTTGAGTTGGCTCCGGAATGATAAGTGGGACCCTTGTAAGGGAAATACAGCTTTACCCTTCTTTTTCAGTTTGAATATGAGGTCAGGCTTCATTTTTACAGGATCAAAGAAAAGGCTCTATCAAGTCAGGAAAAGGACTTTGCAATGAAGACTCAGAATTTTTTTTCAGAATCAATGTAGAAAGTAAATGTTTTCTGAGGGATGCCCTAGTAGACCTGGGGTGTGGGCATCAGTTTCTTAGCTACCTTGAGTTTCATCCATTGGCTTCTTGGAAGGAAAGCAAAGTTCCTTGGGGAAGAATTGGCTTAATGGGGGAGGGCTGGGCTTGGGAGCACTGTCTAGAGCTAGCCATCAGGACCCCTTCTCTCGCCAGCCTTCCTTCTCCTCATCGTTCCTCATCTTGTGCCTTCTAGGTTGGACTTGGCCCAGTCTCTAGGACTCACTCAGCTTCAGGTGAAGACTTGGTATCAGAACCGAAGGATGAAATGGAAGAAAATGGTAAGAAAGAAGAGAGTGGACTGAACCATGTGCCCAACATAATGGGAAAAAAATCTTACTACAGGGCTGGCAAGAAGGCATTTGACGAGACAGACCATTTGGTGGGTTAGGCTTGAGAGACTGAAAAGCCTTTGAAGGTCCTGCCTCTGAGGGAGGCCCCTTAAGTAGTCAGATAAGCCATTCCTCCTGACCTGCATTTCCAAACCTGAAAGATCTTCTTTTTTCACAGTTTACTTAGAAATATAGGAGAAAGAAGACCCACAAGCTTTTCAGTTGCTAGTTTTAACCCCACCTGCTAGCCTTTTCAAAGAACTTCCTTCCCCGCCCACCAGGAGCTAAGAATAGAAGACAGAGCTCTTTGTTGGTAATGGCATAAAGAGCACATCTGCTTTAGTGCTGTATCCTCAAAGGCGGTGAGTCTCCAGTCTCCAGCTTTATTGGGCATTGGAGGAACCAGGGTGGCAAGATCCCGACTTCTTGTGTCAGGACAGGGCTGGGTGCCCAGTTCCTCTGATACCCCTGGCATAAGTGACAGTGGAGGCTATAGCCCAGTGCCTGGCTAAGGAATCATCCCATCTATGGCTTTTAAATGAACTTTGTTTAGAAGTTCATTTAAACATCTTTATGTTTCAAGGAACTCAATTTTGTACTAGTTTACCCATTTTTTTTTAAAAAAAGCACTGTTAAACCCAAATTTTCCACAGTAACTAAGAGTTTCGTTTCTAGTTTTGTGAAGAAGGTCACAGTTCAGAGAAAAGAGGGATAGGAGGGGGATGGGAAGAAGTCCGGCTCTATTCTTTAGAGACCAGGTACTCCCAGCCTCCTACATGGACCTTTCTCTCACGTGTCCTGAATTTTACTTGCCCTTTTCCCTCAGTAGATGAGGTAGCCCAGGCCTGCCTGGGTGACATTCTGATTCAATAAGCTCTCTGGTCACAAGTATATGTCCAGGTGTTTGAAGGGCTTGAATATATTTTCCACAAGCACCAAATAACTAAGGTTCTCCCCAGTCAGTTTTTAAGGAAAAAAAAAGAGTTAATAGACATTTTCTCAATTTTATGTTCTTTTTCTCTCTCAAAATTGACTTACTCCCATGGGGATTACAACTGAGATAGAAAATGCACAAAATGAAGAATGATGTAAAGAAAATGAAAATGAATAAAATAAAAATGAATAAATTAATTAATTGCAAAAACTGATTTACTATTAGTTCTCAATGCTATGTAAATTTTACACCTCGATAAATATATAAACCACATCACCACCAAAGTTCTAATGTCAGTCACTACTATCAGATTGACCCTTCTACCATTTTCCCAACCCCTGTACTCTCAGCTTTGTATTTTCGCCCCATCATGGTTTTTCTTAAAATTTTAATTCTTGCTATTCCCTGCTAACAATGTAGAAAACAAACCACAAATTAATCTTAACGGGGAAAAACAATTTAAAACCAGTAAGGCAGCATCCATTAGATTTCCGGGAAGGAATTCCTGGGCAGATCTCATGGTTTACTCTTGGGAATCTGGCTCTGAGATGGAAGACTTTTCAGATGGAGGTGGCTTGGCTCACAAGACCCTTTCTAGTTGAGGCAGAGCTGCGAATTGCATGAACCAGCACACAGCTACTATATGCATCAGCAAATATGTATGTAATGTCTCCTGTGGAATCAGGTCTTGTAGGAAGTAACCAAAGAAAATATGATCCTGCCTTCACAGAATTTATGATGTAGTTGGGAAATTGAGGTCCAGGAAGCAGCTAGAGAGCACATTGTAATTAAGTGCTGGTGGTGGTTTAGTGTAGATTTTTTTTTACAGATTTATTTATTTATGAATACAAGAACTGTGGTATAGGCCGGAGGTGTTGGGGGCGGGGGTGTGTGTGTGAGAGGATTCACCAGAGACAGAGTGGGGAGCAGAACAGGCAGACCGATGAAGTCCACTGCTGAGGGGAGCAGCGGGCGGGTCAGGAGAGGTCTGCCGCGCCATGTGGGTCAGCTCCCTGGCTAGGGGTGGAACGCATGCTGCAGTGGCTATGGATAGCTTCATACTGCTGCTCTTTAACCGGGTGCACCACCAGGGAGGGCCCCAGTCTAGATTTTTAAGTAGTCATTCAGAAAAGAGTATTGGGGAAGGTGGGAAAAGTTGAACGGGATGGATAAATGACAGCTAGGTAGTCATTTCAAATGTCATTTCAAAATTTCTAGAATGCTAAGACACACATGAAACTTGCTGGAGAAGTCTTTTGGGGGAACTGGTCTCTAAAAGAATCAGATTTGGGAGTGAGAAATTCTGGGCTGTGTTCCGTGCTTGCCCCTCCCTGGCTGATTTTGGGCAAGTCCCTTCACTGCTTTCTGGTGCAAGTTCCACCACCCACCTCCTTCCTCGTCAATCATCGTCATCAAAATCAATGTCTCCTGAATGGCAGGGGTATTGTTTAAATTGGTTATCAGTGATCTTCTCATGAGTCAGATGATTAAGGAATTGACAGCCTGCCACCTCTGTCAGCACCGCCCAGCGCCTGTGGGACAATGCGTGTGCCGGTGCCTCTGACGTCACTTGTTTTTCACAAGCTGCTGTGCTGCCCGCACAACTGTGGGTTGGTTCTTGATGGTTATCAATGTCATTTAAAGCGACATGGAGGTAAAGTAACTGAGCAGATCGAACCTCCGAGAGCATGAGAGCACTCCCCAGGCCAACCATTTATTCGGGAGCACAAGCACCCGCCTCTTGTTCATTCTGGCAGTCATTTATTTATTGGGCACTGATTTTCACCAGGGCTTGGAGATGCCAAGACATGAACCTGCCCACTAAAAAAATTTAGTACATTTAGAAAGGTACTTTGTCAGGTGGAGGAGGACACAGACCTGTAGACTAGCAGTTATACAGAGGAATCGCGATGAGGTCAGTGGTGATTTATTTACAGGGCTCAGGGAAAGGTTTCTGGTGGGTGAATAGAAATGTGTCACATGCAGAAATAAACAGGGACGGCGCGGCAGACCTCTCCCGATCCCCCCACTGCTCCCCTCAGCATTGTACTTTGTCCTTCTGCCTGTTCTGCTCCCCACTCAGTCTCTGGTGAATCCTCTCACCAACCCTGCACACCTCTGGCCTGTACCCCAGTTCTGTAATGCATAAATCAATAAATCTTTACAAAAAACAAACAAACAAAACAAACAAACAAAAAAAACCGGGGACTAGCCATGTTTCAGAACAGCTGGAGCCCAAATGTGAGTGACTCTTCAGCTGTGGGCCTGGACCCCAGGTCAGTGAAGAACTGTCTGTCAGCTGGGATGACTTTACCTATTGTGCTGGTAAAACTCTTTCAAGGCTATCTCTTCAGGTAATGGGGAGGAAAAGAAAAAGATAATTGGGTAATAAAGATGTCTCAAGGCTAGTAACCTAATTGGAACTGGAAAAAGATTAGCACTTGATTCTCAGAGTTATTCACAGGACTGCCAGGGACTAGGTTGCCAAAACCAAGATAGCATCTCTGACTAGTTTTTACCGGTCAGCATTTGTAACCTATAGCGGGTTGGGTAAATTTAATCTTGCACATTAGATGGGACACTCATCCTCTATTCCAATTCTGTTTGGCTCTAGTTCCATTAGGCTCCACAATGTTTTGCAACAGGCTCATTATTTGCTGGTCCTTTTCAGCTTTAAATCACAATTCCTGTTCGGCGAGGAGCTCTCCCTCCCTCTCCCCATCACAGAATTGGGTGGGCCTCATACCGTGCGTCATAAACATCTTCCGCACTGAAAATCTCCAGATAGTCAACAATTCCGTGAACTTGCTACCAGTTGCTATCTGTGTGATCTCAGGCAGGTTACTTAACCTCTGTGTGCCTGTTTCCTCATCAGTCAGGGCATACTAGATACCTTATAAGGTTGTGGTATTAACTGAGTGAATCCCTGTTAAACCTAGAAGAGTACATGCTGTCCCGTGGGGAGCCAAGAAATGTTAGCTGCTCTTCTTCTTCTTATCTTTTTATTATTAAAAAAGTCACTATTTTTAGAATTTATCCACAATGCATGTATCCAGAGAATGCAGACTTTGGAAGCCAAGAAAGATGAACTGAACATGAATTCTGCAGGTTTCTGAGACTCTGAATCTTCTTTTCAGTCAAGAATGGTCCCGTTCTGTCAAGAATTAGCCTTTCTCATTCTCTCTTTGCTAGCCTTCCCCGGGTCAGTGTCACGGCATTTCAGGCCCGACTTGGGATACAGTGGACCGTGTCATGTTTAGGCTGAGAAAGCCTATGAACCAGGTCGCTGGGAAAGGAGTCACACTGGAGTATCTAAACTTGCTTCCTAGTTTCACAGAAACGGTAGTCTGTATGTGGTCCTCGCTCTGCCACTGCGCTGCAGATAAAAAAGGGAATGAATACCAGCCCAGTGAAGGAGTCGATGCCTTAGGGTCTGCTGGGAGATTGCGTAGTTGTAGATAAATATTGAAATTAGAAATAACAGCTGCACATTGTAAGTATCCTCTGCACATCCTTCCCAGTGGAAACCTGGTAAGAGTGCTAGATTTGAATGGTCAGGGGTTTTGTATGCAAATCCCTTCTCTGCCCTGGGCAGGCAGGGTCCTTTCACCTTTTGGCCATAGAAATCACTTCTGCTTGCTCAGTGTCCTCTCTGAAAAATGCAGGAGGCAGAAGCCTCGGCTGTCAGTCCAATTCCCCTCTAGTCTATCACCTAAGCACCCAGGACAGGAAGCAAAGCCTTGCATTGACACCCTCAGCAACAGGATAGCTGAATATCTAGTTTTAGAGTTGCCAGAAGGGGCCGTAGCAGGCATGGCTAATAAAAGTAGATAGTGCTGCAATGTTTTCCAAATGACATGTGACGTTGCCTGCAACGGGTTATCCGGCCTCTCTGGACCAAATGTCTAAACTGGCTCGAGGACTCACTGGGGAGGAGGGGTCGTGGGAGAAGGGCCACGGAGTGCATGAGAATGTGCAGCTCCTGGTGTGGGGTGGTGGTGAGATAATTGCATGTCTCAGGTGTGCTGGGAGGCAGGAGGCCAGAGGTCGAATGCGGAAGGCAGCCAAGAAAGTAGTTATCTCCTAATTATTGCTTGTGCTGGAATGTTTTATTCCATTTAGAAAATGGTCTGATTGTTTTGATTTTTCTTCATGCAGTAGGAAAACAGCCAGGTGGGGTCTATCCAAACTGTGTGGGTGGTGTTCTCTAATTGCTGGGCTGGACTTTTTTTTTTTGCCAATTAGGTGGCTTCCTAAGACCTGCCCTTTTATAAGTTGATTACTACATGGGGCAACTTAATTTTGTATAACCTCTTTCATACCCAGTGCAGCTGCTTTCAACATGTAAATTTCATCTTGGCACATTTGGGTGCTTTCAACAGCCTGTGCTCAGACTGGAGTGAAAATCAGATCCTGACTTATGTGAAAAGGAATATAGGGACATCTTCTCCCCAGAGGTGGATTCTGTCAGCATCTATACCGTGTGAAAGTTCCCCTTTATGGCTGTGTGTTAGCTGTTTGGGTGGTAAGGACAGTGACTGAGCAGACTGAAAGCTCAAAGGAGGTATTTACTGAAAACTTTTGTTTTCTTCATACACAAAAATTAACTCAAGATTATAGATCTGAGCGTAAAATCTAAAACTAGAAAACTGTCAGATGAAAATATAAAGACTTGTGTTAGGCAAAACCTTAAATATGACTCCAAAAGTACAAACAACAAAGCGAAGAACATGAGCAAGGAAGTAAAAAGGCAGCAAACAGAACAGAAGAACATATTTGCAAATTTCATATCTGATAAGGGACTTGTATCCAGAATACGTAGAGAAATCTTACAACTCAGTAATATAAAGACAACCAGATTGAAAAATGGACCTTGACCAGATTTATCTTCAAAGGAGATGTACAGCTAGCCCATCAGCACAAGACAAGATGCTTGACTTCATTAGTTAGTCATCAGGGAAAGGCAAATCAAAACACAATGAGATACCATTTCACACCCATCAGGATGGATAGGATAAAAACTCTTAATAACAAGTGCTGGCGAGGCTGTGAGGAAGTGCGGCCTCCTGTATGGCCGATTAGAATGTAACATGGTATAGCTGCTTTAGAGAACAATCTTGGAAGTTCTTTAGAATGTTCACTTCTGGGCACATATCTATAGAGAATGAAAACGGGGCCTTGAACAAATAATTGTTCAGCCATGTTCATAGCAGCATGATTCACAATAGCCAAAGTGAATTGTGTCCAAGTGTCCATCAGCTGATGAATGGGTACATGGAATTGGTATGTCCATACAACGGATATTATTTGACCATAACCAGGAATGAAGTATGATGAAACATGAATAACCTTGAAAACGTCACGTGATGAAGCCAGTCACAAGGATAACGTTGTGTCACTGTAGTCACATGAAAATGCCCGAAATAAGTTAATCTGTAAACACAGAAATAGACATGTGGTTGCTTAGGGTTTCAGGGGCAGGAGCTTAGGAGAAATGGGTGTGGTTGCTAATGAGCATGGTGTTTTTTTGGGGAGGGGTTTGATGAAATGTTCTAAACTTATATTCTAGTGAGAATACACAATTCTGTGTGTCTACTAAAAATCATTAAGTTGCATATTATACATGGAGCAATGTATGGTATGTGAAACATAGTTCAGTAAAGCTGCTTTTTCTTTAAAAGAACTTACAATTTATGGAGTTCCAACATTCTTACAGTTCAGCACCAGGGTCTTCCGCTGCTCTTAAAGGAAAGATGTCACTAGTAAATATTTCGTGACTACTGACTTCATAGAAAGGTAGTTGGAGATTAGATGTTTGAGGCACAAGACGGGGCAGGGGCTAGTTAGGTATGCAGGCAACAAGAAACATGCCACTTATAATTATCTGTGCTAATCCAGCTCCCCCCAAAAGCCCTTCTTACTAGCTGCCCAGAAAATCAACACTATTAAGCTGGGGTTCAGTGCCAACACAGGAAGGAGTGTATTATATTCCAAAGTAACATGTAAACATTCAAAAAATTTACCCCTGACTAAATCACAGGATCCTTTTGTGGGTAACAAATTAGGATGGCACATGTACATGTCCTTTGAATCGGCAAATGCCATTTGGAGTACTGCCATTTTACGGTTTTATAGCTTTCGCTAACTCTTTGGAAGGGTTTGTTGGAAAGGTTATTCATTTGATGACAGTTTTTGGATGCCTGCTATGGGGACAGAGTAAGAGGGGCAGGGTGGTAAACATGCAGAGATACTCACTTATGCAATGCATGCTGGTAGGAGTGGGTAGGGTGCTCAGAGGGCATGTGATGGGGAGCATTAAACCTAGACATGAAGGTCAGGGAAGACTCTGAGCACTGGCAAAGCTGAGTTAATGAGATGAGGAGGGTGGGAGGCAGATTCAGGGCTGAGAAGATTGCTGTTAGGAGTAGTTCTGGCATTTTCTTTTTTTTTTTTTTATTAAAAAGTTTATTTTTACATCATTTTTC